CCATTGCAAATGCTTTTGAGCCATATCATTCAAGGTCTCTAACCATCGGTTTTTATCATCTCTCAGATCCCAACCAGATAGTATACACATACCAACATGCCTCAGACCACTTGTGAGTGACTTCATGGATTTGTGCCATGATTTGATCTGGCCACCCTACCTTTCTTCCATTCTACTCCTACGCCAAAAAATATCGCATGTCGTGGCAGTCGGTGGTTGGGCATACGTAACACATGTCCCAGACATCTCAACTAACAGAATACTTAAAACGGATAACTATGGATATGAACTGAACCATTAAAACTATTTATATAAACAACAACCTTTCTACTTTTAAGGAAATTAGTTAAATAAGAAGCATTGAAAATCTGGAAACAATAGTCAATTTTTGAGTGAGTGTAAAATACTACCACAGTATCCATTCGGGGCTTTACGCAGGATAGAACTAAAAACCTCAAATCTAATATTATATAGAGTACTATTCAGCTACGATGTTTCTATTTGCTTTTCTTTATTTTTAAAGCTTCGTTTATTTGTGATACAATGTAGCCATTACCGGTTCTCGTCAGTTAGCTACTGTTTCTCGATAGGATTGACTTCAGTATGGAGTTGTGGAAGAGTCTTACAATAGGACGAAACGGTCTTCCAGTGGTTTCAGGTTTTCTACAGTGGTCTAACATCAATTGGTTCAAGATCTCAATCATTAACTTAATAATCTCCACAACCCGTTACTGATAATTACCATGTGATTACTAGTGATTAACTTCGTGAAGGAATTCTCGGAGTTCTAGTGAGAATCCGTGACCAGTGAAGTTATTTTGTGCCGGGTAGAGACAGATATCTACTTCAGTACAATAGAAGATGGTTGCGCAATTTGTAAATTGGTTGAGGTTAGACATTAACACCGTTGGATACCGGCCCAGTGATCGAGTAGCTGAACCATTCGCGCGCAAGAATGAAGGCCCTGTGTTCGAATCCCGCAAACAGGATAGTGGATGCGCACTGTTGAGGAGTCTCACAATAGGACGAAATGGCCGTCCAGCGCTCCCAGGTTTTCAATGGTGGTCTAACATCAATCGGTTCAAGCTCTCAATTAATAACTAATTTAATTACTTGGAAACTCAAGAATTAACACTAATATCTACTTTGTTTCATACTTATTGAACTAAGCGTATTATGGCCTTGCAACAGAACTTCAAGCAATTTATCTGTAAGCTTATCGTACAAATAATCAGCAAATATGAGTAAAATCATTATGATTTAAGATAAACCAGCGGTCACACGTTAGGTTATAAGATGAGAACGTTTATCAAACAGAAATTGATGAGAAATTTCACATACATTTTTATTAATCACGTTTTTTCTCACAAACTTTTCATCAATTTATGTAATTAACTAAACTTTAAGGACATCTTATTCAGTATCTACCCATGCACTGTAATGTGTTCTACTTATATCGACATAAGTAGTATATAACGCTAATCAGGATTAAAATGTCTAGCATCAGAAGTTCAAGAAGGAAAGAACGGAAACGGAAAGCAATCGGTATAGTAATGCAAAAACAATGAAGTCTGAGACGATTGATTGACATTTTGTAAATGAAGTATTTACTGTATGGTTCTTTTCACCACTTCTGTTCTCGTTTACTACAGTACTAACAAGCAATGAATGTTTTTATCGATCAACTGTAATTCCGAATATGAAATAGATCAAACTGAAAACACGTTGAAATAATAAGAATCAATGATTATGGAGGCCATTCTTGATTAGTCAAGAGCTCCAGTGATTCATAGCTTTATGAATTTACAGATAGTTTGTTTTGAAAATACATCAGTTCCATACAAATATCCAAGTGTAGATATTAATTCGCTTGGTAATGTTTACTTGAATCTTCCCATTATTACTTAGGACTGCAATTGATCAGCCTCATGTTGGCAAATGTGCATGCTGTGCGTATTGCCTCGATATTGCCTTAAGTCACAAGCTTTTTTAAACAAAGATGGATAGTGGATAGCAAAGGAATCCAGTTTTACGCGCGTTTCGTCCTATTTGGGACTCGTCATCTGGATGTACCTGCATCTCAGAGTTGATGTTTACCCTGGGATCGAACCCAGTAGTGTTTGCTCCAGACGCCATCGCGTTATCCACTTAAGTACTTTAATATTACTTATCCCAACTAGTACACCTGTCATCATACTATCGATTTGTGCTTTTCACTTATTATATAATCTTTTCCATTGTTATCACTGACTCATAAAATACCTTGATTGGTTTAATAATTTTGTATATGCATATAAATACATTACTGTACATTAGAGTAAAGCCTGATGAGGATTTGGTCGAAAACAATATTGTTTCCTTATATCTATGTTGTTCTAAATTACAATATGGGAATTTTTTAGACTTTCATTTGATTAATATTATTATTAATATCTCAAATCCCTGTCTTATCTCTTCACCATATCTTCATTATATTCCTGGTGTTTATTCTAAGTATCTAGACCGATATAGATCCGTGACAGATTTACGATAATGACCAGTAGTTAACTAATCAAAGAATTACATACATGATTATAAATTGATATTGATTTTCTATTCTTTTGCAGATATCTTAAACAAATTACCGATAGCAACTGATTGTCAGAGACCATGAATGTGACATGACACAAAATCGTTTGCAATGGCGCACGTGCATCCACTCTTTGTGTTCTCCCGAATTCTAATCTTCCGAATTCTTCATGTACCTTTCTTTTCTCTTTCTAACGGACGGGTTTACTGTGTAGCAGTTTGCTCCATCCCACCTTATGGCTGTGAAACATGGTCTGTAATAGTAGGAGATGTTCGAAGGTTACTATTATTCGACCGTACGTGTCTTTGAAAAATTGCTCGTATATCGTGGTACTACCGAGTAAGTAATAAGGTTGTTAGGTAAGGATGACGGATCAATTGATGAAGTAATGAAACTTCGTCAGTTGAGATGTCTGGGACATGTGTTACGTATGCCCAACCACCGACTGCCACGACATGCGATATTTTTTGGCGTAGGAGTAGAATAGAAGAAAGGTAGGGGTGGCCAGATCAAATCATGGCACAAATCCATGAAGTCACTCACAAGTGGTCTGAGGCATGTTGGTATGTGTATACTATCTGGTTGGGATCTGAGAGATGATAAAAACCGATGGTTAGAGACCCTGAATGATATGGCTCAAAATCGTTTGCAATGGCGCACGTCCATCCACTCCTTGTGTTCTCTCGAATTCTAATCTTCTGAATTCTTCATGTCCCTTTGTTTTTCCTCTTTCCAAATTTATTTCACTGGATTATATTGCTTGAATAACATCTTCGAACCCTAATCTTTCTGATTACTGCTTATACTCTTACTAACTCTACCACTATGGGATTTGAGTCGACAATTGTATCTGTGTGCTAATGTGGTATGTCAACTCGAACTGATGTACGTACATATGAAGTTCTACGTTGTTATTGACTGACTGATTCTGTTAGTTACATTTGGTTGTTATTCTAGTTATCATCTTTTGAAGTTAAACTAAATGAATCATTGTGAAAATTTTCAAGTTTTTCTAAATATATCTTAAAAACATTTTCATTATAACCAGTATTATATAACAAACATACCTAATTATACCTGCTGCTTCGCATGAAGGAGCATAAGCTAATCCCTATCATTCTCCATTCAACTTTGTCCTGGACAATCTTTTCCCGTTGTGATTCTTTCTACTCATATCTGCTTCCAATTGTTTATGAAGTGCATCCCTTAACTTTCCTCTTTTCGGTTTCGTTTGAGGATTCCAAGTTAGTGCTTGCTTCATGGTACAGTTTGATGATTTATCCGATGTGTTTCCTATCCAATTTCAACGACTTTTCCTAATTTCTTCTTCAGATGGAAATTAGTTCGCTTTTTCTAACAGTAGGTTGTTGCTGATGGTATACAACTAACAGACATGAGTATCTTACGTAGACAATTGTCTACAAATACTTGTACTCTTTTGATAATGGTTATAGTAGTTCTCCAAATTTCAGCTCCGTGCAATATAGCTCACTGTCTTGAAGTTCGTATTGAAGATTGTGACTTGGGTATTGGTTGACAGACAGTTATTTTGTGTTCCATCTGTTCATTAATTATAAAAATACTCTCAATAGTTGAAATTATGAGTCAATTGATGCTAGACCACCATGGAAAACCTGAAAGCACTTGACGGCCGTTTAATGGTTAAGCGTCCGCGTGCGAGACTGATAGGTCATGGGTTCGAATCCCGCAGGGGGAGCGGCATCGTGGGTGCACACTGTTGACGAGTCACATACTAGGACGAACCGGCCGTTCAGTGCTTCCAGGTTTTCCACGGTCGTCTAGCCTTTAATTGACTCATGATTTCAACTATTGAAATTACTAGAATCTCTACAAAACCCCTTGTAATTCTAAAAATACTGTCATTACTTAGCTAACCCGTTACCTTTAAACCAACACAACTATCCCAAATAATATTCTCCAATCAAAATGTTTATTCTAACCTTCTATTAAAATCTATCATTTTATAATAATCAATAATAACCAATAAAAACAAACAAAACTTGATTTGATTGGTTATTTACAAGGCTAAATTATTTCCCTCATTCTGATTGGCTGATCATAGATGATTATAAAATAAAAAAAATTGATTTAAACTTTGATTTGATTGGTTATTTACAAGGCTAAATTATTCCCCTGATTCTGATTGGCTAATCATGGATTATTATTTTTTAAAAAAATAAAGATGAAGTATATAGCAACGTGACTAGTAACAACTATGATACAAATAAGATTTAAACAGCAAATTCGTCGTTGATGTTGGTACGGTATTTGACTTCGTAAAATGAATATGTATATCATTCATTTGTATTTTATGGATTATTATTATTATTGTTATCGTCATCATAAATTTCATAAATGAACATTATCCATATTATTATAATACAAATTCAATCATTTAAATTTGGAAATTATGCTTGCCAATGGTGAATATGTAGATGGTTCATGGTTATTATCAATCTATATAGATGATTTAAATATTCAACGTGATATACGTGTACATGGTGAATGGTCTATTAATGAATTAATTACACAATTAATTGATGGTTTAATATGTCCTCAAAGAAAATTATTACAATCCAATGAAATAAGTTTACATTCTAATCATATTAAAATGAATTGGGAAGATTATGGTTTATGGTGGCCAATAAAATCCAAATGGTTATTAAAAACTAAATTAAGTTTAAATCAATATGGTTTACAAGCAGATGCTAAATTACATTTTTTATCCATATATGGACAATTAAATATACAATTACCCGATTTACAAATACGTAAATTTATTGATATCAATTTTTCTGAACCAGTTTATCGTGTTACATTATCTATATGTCATTATTTAAATATAAGACATTCAGAAGAATTATCATTAGGTTATCCTATTCAACAGAATGATTTAAAACATTCACGTTTTATACGAAATTCTATAAATAAACATGATCAAACATTATTGAATACAAAGAAATATTCAACATTTCAACGTAGTGCTACTATAAATACAACACATTCACAATATAAAACATTACATAAAGAATCATTATTTCAAATGAATAATGAAATGAATATAAATCAATCACAACAACAAGATGATGAAAGATCTATGAAAAGTTCTATATTATCAAAACATTCAATTCAATTATATGGTCCACCAATAATACGTGATAAACGTTATCATTATTATTCTATAAGACATAATTCAAGAAATTCGAATCATCAAACAACCTTATCATCAATTCCATTTAATTTACGTATTCTAGATGATCCATCATTAATTTATAGTCCGATTATTCATATAGATGAGCTATACAAAATCATTTGATTGTAAGACCAAATAATTATATACAACGTATACGGTTAAATACAATATGGTTAGATTCATCTAAATCATTATTAGAACAAGGTATAACTATGTTAGGGTATAATTCTTCCTCTACTTTTTCTTCATCTTCTATGAATCGACCTAATTCATCAGGACAAGTACAAAATGATGAATATACAAAGTTATCAAATAGTGACAAAGATAATAATACAATACCAACATTAATTCTACGTTATAAATATGGTATCTATTATGATTTAAATATAAAATATGATTTAATACGTATTAATCAATTATATGAACAAGCGAAATGGTCAATTCTATCAGAAATTTATGATGTAACAGATGAAGAAGCATGTTTATTTGCTGCATTACAATGTCAAGTATGTGATCATGAATACTATTTTATAATATTGATTTATTTATGGATACTATGATACTACTAGGTTACTCAAATTAAAATAGGTGATTTTCTCATGTGCAATGGTGGTGAAAGGGTTCATACACCTGGAGATTTCGATATAAACATCTAATCAACAAATTAGTAGAGTAACGTCAGGAGATACAGTCACATGGTAGCCAGTGATCAATAATTGGTTCATACTCCATTTGTTCTTTCAAGATCTTAGAGCCCATGTATATGATTGGTTTAGAATGAGGGTTTTTTTCAACTCCCCTAGGTGTATCCTCCATATCTACTAATCCAGTTAGACATTCGTTTCTTGTCTTTTCAATTTCGTAAACAATATCCTCACCATAAAACTTCAGTGAAGATTAGTTTCGTTAAATATAATCATATGTTAATTGAAGTAGACTGTACTGTAATGATAAGTATTACAATGTATTACAATGTAATGATTACTATCTTTTCATAACATTGATTTATTTATGTATCTTAAAGAAGGATTCAATGAAATATTCAAAATACTTTTTATAAAATCATAGAAATGTGAACATATTGAGAAGGAGGAGGGGTCGCCTAGTTGCTTAAAGCGAAACAGGTGGTTTTTTTAAAAGGCTCCACGCCCAAAGACTTCGACATAAAGGACTGTTCCAGTGGAGCAACGTCAGGAGATACAATCACATGTTAGCTGATGATCAATAATTGTTTCATACGCCATTTGTTCCTTCAGGATCCTAGAGCCCATGTACGTGATTGGTATAGAATGAGGGTTTTTCACCTCTCATAAGTGGATCCTCCATATCCATCAACCCTGTTAAATCATTGGATATGCACTTTTCGTCTTCTGAATTTCGTAAACAACATCCCCGTCACAAGAAGGCAGTGAAAATGAGTCACGTGAAATACGATCATATGTTAATGAAAAGTAGACTGTTCTATAAGGATACATTTGATTGAAAACCTCTAAATGTTAATTAGACATCTGTTCATTCTTATTTTATGATTCATTATCCATAGATTTTGTTGCAATAATTTTTTTAAAATAAACATTGTTGTTTATGTACTCACTTACTAAGTACAAATCTGTGTATATGATTTGGAGTAATAGAGACTACTGATATTACTCAACTGCTCAAACTGAAATTTGTAAAGTGATGTTTGAGACGGAAACTTACTTGTTAAAAGCTGAATGCTTTGAATGAAGAATGATACCATGATGGTAACACTGATAGTAGGCACTTATAAGTAAATATAATCGTTGAATAATTACTGTTTAAAAAACATTTTACATAAGTTGGATGACGGTAGAACAGAGAACTTTATATAATTTGTGTTAAGAATTGTTGATAGTAACTAAGCATATGTCTTTAAATAGAGTTTGCTTTATTATTACTACTAATTAAATCAATAACTAAATTACAGACTTTCCTTGTGATGGTGGAGAAGATTTGTAGCTCAGATGGATGATTTTGATAGTTTTTTTTCTGAGCTGGATTGTTTGATTGTGAAGCTTTCATCGTTCTTCTGAATAACATCATCAGCACAAACTTCAGATAGAAGTCTGAAGTCTGGAGTTTTTGCCGATGATGTTGTTCAGAAGACTGATGAAAGCTCCATAACTAAATATCCAGCTTATAGAACAAAACTCCATCAAAAACTTTCCTTATTAAGATCATAATGCAATAACAGTTACATTGTCTTAGCAATTTCATAATAAAGTTATCACAACAGAAATTGTTCATTTCGACTCATTCAAATCGACAATAGTTTGGACTGATCAGTAGAAGTTCATAACCGATGTATCATTGCCCTCTTTTAATTAATTAATATGCATAATTTATACAATTAGATTTAAGTGTACTTTATAGTTGTGTAGAGTGATGAAACTGTTACTTCCATATATCTTCAGAAAAATTAGTCAGCTTCCTAATCTATATGCATAGTAGGTAAACTTCTCTAGATAAATATTTTTATTCGTATTATTCAGTTTATAGGTGTAGTACGAAAAAAAATCCCATAAGATTAATCTGAAAACATTTCAATGTATTTACACAATACACAATGTGAATTGTCTAGTCGTACATAGTATATAGTATAGGAGTTGGACTTTTACTGGGAGATTCATTTGTTGACTTAGAATATGCCGATGACATAGTTCTGTTTGGTGAAGACACTGACAAATACAGAGTCTTCTGAACACTATAAGCAACAAAGCAAGCATGTTCGGGATGCGATTCTCCCCTTCGAAATGCAAAATGTTACTTCAGGATTGGGTTGCACCGACACCTAAACTAATGATAATGAGTGACGTAGTTGAGCGTGTCGACCGCTTCACTTATCTTGGGAGTCTCATCAGCCCTTGTGGTCTGGTGTGTGACGAAATCCCATCACGGATACAGAAGGCTCGACTAGCTTTTGCCAACTTGCGTCATTTATGGCGTAGAAGAGATATCCGTCTACCAATCAAAGGACGTGTTTACTGCTCAGCAATGCGTTCCGTCCTACTTTCTGACTGTGAAACATGGCCGGTAAGAGTAGAGGATATTTATAGGTTACTATTATTCGACCGTAAGTGTCTTTGAAGAATTGCTCGTATATCGGTGTACCACCGAGTAAGGAACGAGGTTGTTAGGGAATGGGTACTAAGTAAGGATGACAAATCAATTGATGAAGATGTCTGGGACATGTGTTACGTATGCCCAACCACCGACTGCCCCGACGTGCGATATTTCATAGTGTAGGAGTAGGATGGAAGAATGGTAGGGGTGGCCGGACCAAAACATGGCACAAATCCATGAATTCACTGACAAATGGTCTGAGGCATGTTGCTATGTGTATACTATGTGGTTGGGTTCCGTGAGACGATAGTACAGGACTATTTAACAGTGTACATCTACTAGGGATCAAAAATATGAAATCTTAGCATCACAACCTATGGTTATGATTAGCTTTATTTTTAAACCATTTTGATTTATTAATCTGATTAGATCCAATGAATTCAGTTTCTTCAGAAAAGGTTTAAAGTAACGAGAATTTGCTTTTAGCCATCTAAAATACACTAGACTTAACTCATAACTAGAGATTCTTTAAGGTTAAGAATCTGTTTGTAACAGTTTGTACATTGAAAAATGTGAACGTAAGTTTTCACTGACTGAGATGGTTGAGCCACGTGTTACGTATGACTGAACACCAATTACCACGACGCGCAATGCTGAATAGCGTTGGGGGTAGTTGGAAGAAAGTTAGGGATGGCTAAACCAAAACGCGGCATCAGTCATTGAAGTCACTAACTTCTAGTCTGAACCATGTTGGTAGATGCAGACTACCTGGTTGGGATCCGCGTGACTATCGTAACCAGTGGTTGGCTTAGAATCGATAACAATGGCATAATAGTATACACTCTCTGTCTTCCCTTAAACTAAGAGATTAAAATCACTTCATATCTTTCTTTCTACGAACTAATTCTTTCTTCCTGTACTATATCCTTACAGACAACCTTTCTTTTATATATTACTTCCATTGAAGTAACTAGTTCTATGAATTTGGTATTCATCTTGTGCTAATGAGATGTGGCAATTTGGATCGATGAATATGTGTACCTGGTTCTACGTTGTAGCCGACCAACCGACTGACATCACAAATCGAATTCTCCTATATCTATCTGGCTTTAAATGAATATTATTATCAAATTTTCGGGTCTTTTATAGGACATTATGATTTCAGTTACGTTTTTATTCATTACACCAAATGTCCCACTAATCACAATTACACATTCACTTAGAATAAACCATGCATTCTCATGTCGGTAGAATTACAGATAGTCTATAAATGTATTTGTATTGATTAGAAGGTATTGACGAAACTATTCTGTAGTTCTATTGTGAATTTCTTTCAGGTATTTGCTTATGATTTATATGATAAACGATAATTAGTTTGTGCCTTCTAGTGTATACATATGTACATATATTCATGCGCTTTTAAAAGAATATAGTCACGTAAACTGGCCGTACACATACATTTATTTATTTATTTATTTGAACATATAAATATTCATACAAAGGGGCACCGAATACATATATGTCACATAAGTCACTCGATTTGTATGTGGGCAATGATGCTACCCGAGAGACCAAACCAAAACAGGTGGTTTTCTTAGAGGTTCAGACACCGAGCCTTTGGCCTAGAGGTCTAATCCACAAGGCAGTCGGGGAATGTTACGATATGTAGTCTCATAGTAGCCGGTGACCAACAATAAGATCACAGGCCATTTGTTCTTTCAGGATCCTGGAGCTCATGTACACCATTGGTTTGGAATCAGGGTTTTCCAACTCTTCTAGGTGGATCCTCCATATTCACCAATCTGGTTAGAGTGCCGGAGATTCGCTTTTCGTCCTCTTAATTTCGTAAACAACACCCCTGTCACGAGAAGGTAGTTAGTAGGACTTCCCTGGCAATGGTTGTATGCACGTGGCCATTTGAAGGTATTTCTAAAGAGAGAGCTAACTCTCCCCACCCTCGTCCGTACCAGGGCATTTGGAGGCGCTCACATACATGGACTAGCTTTTTAGTTTAAGTATTTTTAAGAAACGTAATATATAATTGCTTAGTTATGTGAATATAACTTCATACAGTGTATTACCATTTATTTGATAATTAGCATTCATTATTTTAACTGATTTTTTCAGTAATATTATTAGACATTCTTGTATTTTTATAAAAAAATCAAGAATGTCATTTTTTGGTTGAGATCATGAACCGATCGATGTTTGATCACCATTGCAAACCTGGAGGCACTGGATGACCGTTTCGTCCTATAGTGGGACTCCTCAGCAGTGCGCATTCACGATCCCACCTCGCGAGATTCGAATCCATGACTTATCGGTTTCGCGCGCGAACGTCTAACCTCTAGATCACTAAGCTGGCTGGCATCCAACGGTGTTAATGTCTAACTTTGACTAATCCACGAAATTGGGCGACACATCCACTATTGTTTTCAGTGAGTTACTATCTCACAACAAACCCAGTTGAACTCCACTGGTCACTACTTCTCACTATAATTCCAAGAAATTTCCTCTTGAAGCCATTCACCAGTGAGAATATGTTGATGAATATCAGGAGGGGTTTTGTGGATATTATAGTAATTTCAGTGGTTGAGATCATGATTCAATTGATACTAGACTACTATGAAAAACTTAAAAGCACCGGACGGCTGTTTGACTCATGATTTCAACTAATAAAAAAAAGAATTACTATAGTATCCACAGAAACCCCTTCTGATATATACATAACTATTAAGAAACTTCTAAATTTCTGTATGTTACCCCTAGATAAATATTATATACATCTAAATAGGATTTACATTCGTAAAATATGTGTGTTGATGTATATGTGTACATGTAATACTAAAGTATATAACAATTTG